GTCATCGCCTCTGTCGTCAGCGTCACCTCTATCATCACCCGTGGATGCATGTGTTCCCGACGCAAAGAAATCGTCGTCGTCGCTGGATGTGCTGTCGAACAAGAAGTCACCCTCGTCCCAACGCATGCGGGCCTTGCGAATGCCACCATCCGTCCGCTGTCGCCGAGTCCGAGGAGCGGAACCCGCATCGCCACGTGTACGTCCTCCGACACGTGCTCGTCCACGGCCGCCACGTCCCTGACCACCAGCCCTGCGTCGCCTCCTGTCCGACTCCGCCACTCGACGCTCGGCTCCCATGCGGAAAATGGCGCGCATCCTCTCTCTGGCGAGGCTCAACTCCTCCTCGGTCACCTTCGCCAGAACACCGGTGCCTCTGACGAGCTGCTGGTCCACGGCTGCCTCGTCCTCCACGGCCTGCCAATAATGCACCCATTTCCCGAAGACACCGGACCTCTCTCCAACACCATCGTCGCACAACGAAGGTCGATCGAGCAGCCTGAGGTTCCAGTGGCACCGCACAAGCTTCTCAGCCCGGGGAACCTCCAACCTGTTGCGAGACTTCGAATGAATGAAGTTCCAACGAGACCACACTCTCTCGCACGGTGAGGCGGTCGCCCATATACGAAGGATCCTGCCTGCAAACACGGCCGTGTGAGGGAACTTCGCCTTCTTTGAGGACCAAAAACTGGCAGGGTGATCAAAGATATCCGCAGCTCGCCGCATGGTGAGCTCATCGAAAGGSGGCTCCCTCGTGTGGAGCTTGGCRACCGCTCGTTGGACCTCCCGGTGCTGYGGCGAATCCTCCGGGTAGCCGAACTGGACAAGGGCCTCGACCAAGGCCTGCTGCACCTCCGCATCGTCACAAAGCGTCGCGTCCCGAAACTCTGGATCTAGCAGCGTGGCTGTCGTGTGGGCGGGGGTCTTGAACATGGTGCGTCGCCTGTGGAACACCTCCACAATAGCGTCTTGCTGCTCCCGATCAATGTCACGACATGCGGATAAACAAGATGCAATCATTTCCTCGTAACGTCGCAGAATCTTGCTGATCTGGGGTGTGTCGCTGTCCACCAACTTCAGCATGCCCATGATGGGCTCTAGCATCTTGCACAGAGCTCTCAAATCCTCCCACCATGGAGGGGAGCCGATACGTGCAGTGACCTCCGCTGCATCCTTGCGGATCTTGTTGGTTGACCAAACAGTCTCGTGCCAGCGATCATCGGCCACAACATCTGTCAACGCGGCCCGCAGTGCCACCAGCCTCTCCATCATGATGACGTTCGTGCCGAAACGCGTCTCCGCCGGTAGCAGAAGAGTCTTCGTCGAGTGCGCCTCAAGAACCTCTCTCACATGTCCATGGCGTTTGAAGAACCTTGTAACCAGCCTCGCTTGAGAAATGCGGGAAGCCACCCAATCAATCCCGCCGATGTCCTCGAGAATGAGATCCATGATGTGGGCGACGCAAGGAATCCAGAAGATGTGTTTCATGCTCTCATCTTTTTGGAATACCTCCATCGCCGCGACGTTCACCCCGGCGGAGTCCGTCACGAACGTCGTGATGTCTCTCAATTGAACGTCCATGGACTTCACCCTTTTCAACCATGCGTTCGCGAGGGCACTGGCGTCCTTTTTGCCACGCATGACGTCGGTGGACACATACACCACCCCGATCTCTGTACCAACAAGGTAGTTGCACAACGTCTGACCACGGATGTTGGTCCAACCATCGGTCATGATTGTGCAACCGGTCTCTCTCGAYGTGTCAAGCACTGGCCGAACACACTTCTGGACCTCACCATCCAGCTCGTCCAAAAGGGTCGTGCGCAGCATGTGGTACGAGGGAAGTCTAGGCGCGGGCGCCCCTGGAACCCCCGGCGGGATTATSATCGTGAACATGCGTTTGAAGCTTTCAAGCTTCGTGCTGTTGAACGGCATCCCGCTCTCGACGATGAACCGCATGATTTGCAGATGTCATGCGCGCTCCAAAGGGTCCGAATAATATGACGTGACGGCTTGCTGCCTGTAAGTGCCCCGACATCGTCCCGTCGTAGCTCTCCCGCCGAGGACCCCAGCATCCAACAACCCGCCAGGGCTCACAGGTGTCGCGCTCTGGACGACTGCAAGGTCACGAATGCGCTGCAAAGGGTCTAACGTTCCGGTCAACACGGGTGGAGGCTGTGGGGCAGACCAACCACCGCCCGTGGTTGTCGGAACAGGGGTCGGTGATGAATCGGACACCGGAGCGGGGACCTCCTCGGCAGGCACCCCGTGATCCACCTGTTCCCCGAAACGAGGCACGGAAGCAGAATGTCGAGCATCTGCAGGTGCGTGTGACGGATCCGGGTGGGTGGTTCCGTGAACGTGGTGGACCATTGGGCACTGCGCCGCTCTCGACGGTGGCGGTGGCAGCCAGGGGTGCTCCGACGAACTGCGGGGTGATGCGCCAGGTGCCACCGCAGTACCACCCCGTGCGGCATCTGACTGCCTAGCACTCCTGAAAATCAGGGGCGAGCGCGGGCGCTGAACTGCCGGCACTCCCCCCCAACCTGCGACTCTCAATAAATGCACGTGTGCTCTCCTCGTCAAATGCCGCAGAGCCCTTACCATCCCTCAGAGGCGGGGGCTCGTTGGCTTGCGTGGAACGACCAACTCCCACATCGCAAGCACCTCGTGTCCCAGCCAGCGGCGCAGACGGCGGGGCTGCCGGTCGTGTTGCAACTGTTGTTGCAGGACGCGGTACCGTGACTCGAATGGCCAGAGCCCCAGAATTGGGCGATGCGACGGCTCCAGAAGGGGCGGTGGGAGGAACCAGCGGCGGCACTGCGTCCTCGGGGAATCGAAGAGGTGGCCACTGCAAGCTCGGATGACCTGGCAAGTGGCTCTGCAACGTTTCTATGGCCGACGYGAACTCCTTTGGACATTTTGTCATGTCCTTCGACCAGATCGCATTCCACACAGCAGGAGTGACTGCCTCACATCGGAACTTCTCGCTCTTCGAGAAGTGCTCCTTGGCGGCTTTAGCGCCCCCACAAATCGAACGCCCGCACAACCTGCACAGGCATCGACGACCGCTCTTCCTGCCCGCCGTCGTCGACCCATCCAAATAACGCCCTCTGGCCACGAAATGCCACACCGGGTCGTCCCGCTTGCCGTCGACTGTCGGGTCGACCATGAACGGCGAGTCAAACGTCTTCGTGTTATGACCTTGTCGGGCAGTCGTGAGCGAGTCTACCGGATCCTTCCCCCAGTCCTGCGACATGATGAAAGTCGCCAACCGCGAAAAAAAAAGACGATGTTGGAACCCTTTGAGAATGTTGCCAACTCGCAACAGAGATCGAAGTCGGCGTCAGAGCGGCAAAGAAATGCTATGAAACAGGGAAAAACGATGAACGCAAAGTGCAGAACACCTGGACATCAGAAGAAAAACACAAGACGACATGAAACAAAAAAACAAACAACCAAARAACAAMAAAAAAAACTCAGAACTCGGAGGCAAAAAAAAAAAAACGTCGATGTTCTCTGTCCCTTGTAAAAAAAACGACAATGTTCTCCGCAAGGCAAGCGTTCCACAGGCGGAACTTCCGATTCTAGGAGGGCGATCCCACTAGCCACGTATGTGGAACAGTGTGACTAGTGTGGGACGGCTGGGGGATAGGCGGGTGGTAGAGGGAAAGAGGGAAAATAAACGGAAAAAAAAAAGGGCAAGATTAACTCCACACACCGTTTGCTAACTTCACACATTAACAAAAGAGAGAGAGAGAGAGAGAGAGAGAGAGAGAGAGAGAGAGAGGCCACCAGCTTCCTGCCCCAAGGCTGAAAAGGCCACCCTAAGGCTATCAGGCCACCCTAAGGCTATCAGGCCACCCTAAGGCTGAAAGGCTATCATGCCACCCTAAGGCTTTCAGGCCACCCTAAGGCTATCAGGCCAACCTAAGGCTATCAGGCCACCTTGGGCTTTCAGGCCACCCTAAGGCTATCAGGCCACCCTGGGCTCTCAGGCCACCCTAAGGCTATCAGGCCACCCTTGGCTGAAAAGGCTATCACAGCCTATCAGGCCACCCTAAGGCTATCAGGCCACTTTGTATTTTTCGAAAAACCATAAAAGTTGATAAAACTGTGTCACATGTCGTAGAATACTTTGCTAGTGGGTCCAACCTCTAGGACTCCACGCCCCAGGTTAGTC